TGCATGAAAAAGATGAAGACGCAAGGTAGTTCACAATGCGTCTCCATCGAGTCACAGCAGCTGTGACTAATGAAATCTATGAGTAACTTACAAGCTGGGTGCAACATTCAGTTCAACCTGCGGGCCGTCCATAAACCACGTAGACCAAGTTTTAAACATTGCAGATCCTACCTTTCCCTTCGTATACTCAAATTTTAAAGCGTTTCGTTTCAATACTCCTCCCATAGGGCCCTTCCATGACAAGTTGCGAAAAAATGCCACACGGCAGCAATGCCAATTTTTTTTGCATGTTGCATCAGTACCTAAGAGTCCAAGCTGTACCTCATAGGTACATATATCACTCGTTCGTAGGCAATGACTTTTACATAAGCTCCAGCCCAATAGGCTTCGCGGTGTTAGTGACATTTGGAAATGTTTGGTGGTGTTTGTATTTATTCGCAATATTCATCTATTTACCTGAAACAGCTGTTTGAAGTGACGTCATTGCTTACGAACAGGTGATATACCTATGAGTTACAGCTTAGACTCGTAGGTATATCACTCACTCGTAGGTACGATATAATGCTTCACATAAAACAACGAATGTTATGAATGAAATGATCAGTTAGAAATCAAAGTTTCCTACTAGAACAGTTGAATTGAAGAATATCTAAAAATGAAACGTAAGTGTTCAATGTGTGATGTTTGGATGTTGAGTTCATGTGCCAGAAAAATCACCAATAAATTGTACGATTATGCAGTGGAAAAAAAGATTAAAATAGATGAGAGTAGCTCCTTCATTTGTCAACGATGCTACCACAAACTATATGAACCCAATGATGCCGTGACCGAAGAAGTCGTTGCAGGACCATCCAGAATCGCTGCTGCAGGTACGTTATTTGAAAATTCATGTGATTCTTCTTTAAATTTCAATTCTTTTCTTCTAACTACTAACTTAAACTCTTCTTTTTTGCAATCATTTTTCAGAGTCCATCGAAGCAACCAGCATTGAATCAATTTCCGTTGCGGGATCGTCCAGAATGGTTCCTTTTCCCTGCCAAGGTAAATAATAAAAAATAAATCATTTGTATGTTTTTTTTTCTTTCTAATAATCAATCATTTTTTATATTTATTTTCAGAATCAGTGGAAACAACCAGTTCTGAATCGATCGTTACCACCTACAACGCACCTTTGTCGGACGAAAATGAATTCCTTATACAACTTAAGGATAAATATAAAGAAACAAGAGACAGCAATGAGCGATACAGGATTTTAACCACACTTCCCAAAAGTTGGTCTACATATAGAATTATGAAGGAGTTCAATGTTTCCCAACATATGGCCAACCAAGCAAAAGCACTGCAGCAAGAGAAAGGAATAATGTCGGTGCCTGTAAAGAGGTTAAGCAGAGCTTCATTAGGAGAACCAACGATAATGCTTGTTCGTGACTTTTACAATAGTGACGATATAAGTCGTGTTTGTCTGGGGAAAAGAGATTATTTAATATCTAAAAATGATGAAGGCGAAATCTACGTACAAAGAAGATAAGTTTTGTGTAACTTGCAGGAGGCGTACTCCATCTTTAAAAATACATATCCTGATATTAAAATAGGATTTTCCATGTTCGCCAGTAACCGTCCGAAACACTGCATTTTGGCAGGGACAAGTGGCACGCATACCGTATGCGTTTGTATATATCATCAGAACGTTAAACTTATTTTTAAAACACTACAAAGCAGACAATCACTCCCAGATGGTGTTGATTCCTATCACGATTTGTTTAAAAAAAATAATTTGTCAAAATCCAAGTGAACAATGCTGGCTGCAGTGTTGCAAAAATTGTTCAGGAACGCAAATTTTGGCCACAGAACTAATGACTATTCTTAGTAACGGACATGTTGAATCAATACAATTCAAACAATGGCGTCAAGTAGAGAGATGCATTATGGACGTAGTTGAAATGGACACACAGGAATTTATTGATACTTTTTTAGAAAAATTATTCAATTTATTGCCGCATAACTTTATAGCTGAGCAACAGGCAAATTACATGAAACACGTCAAAAGCAATTTGAAAGCTACAGAATGCATCATAATCTGTGATTTTTCGGAGAATTATTCTTTCGTTGTGCAGGATGCAGTTCAAGGCTTTCATTGGGCGAACGCCCAATGTACTATTCACCCTTGTGCTATTTATTTTAAAGACGAAGAATCTAACGATTTGAAATTTACTAGTTTTATTGCAATTGCTGATTTCACTAAACATAATCATGTCGCAGTTCGTTTATTTCTTACGCATTGTCTAGCGTTCATAAAATGTAAATTTCCAAGCTTACAACAGATTTACTTTTTCTCAGATGGATCAGGAACCCAATATAAAAATAAGATGACCGCTTTTAATTTATGCAACATGCAAAAAGATTTTGGCATTGCTGCCGAGTGGAATTTTTTCGCAACTTGTCATGGAAAGGGCCCTTGTGATGCTTTGGGAGGAGTATTAAAACGAAACGCTGCGAAAGCGAGTTTGCAAGGCCACCATATAACAACGGCCCAAGAACTTTACTCATGGGCTATTTCTAAGCCAGATTCAAAAATACACTATCAGTTTTTTTCGGAATCCGATTACAATAAAATGGAAAGAAAATTGAAAAACCGTTATATACATGTGAACCAAATTTCGGGGACACAGTCATTCCATAGTTTTAAGCCTCAAAACGAAAAGTATATTATTGTCAAACGGTATTCATTTTCAACGGAAGAAAAATGTGTGAAATTGTAATTAAAGAAAATAAATGCTTCATGTTTTACTTCTTTTTCTTCGATCTCGTCATTATTTGTAGCATTTAAGTACTTCTCCCAGAATTTTGATACCAAAATTAATAATGTCAAACTGGGGCCTGTTTTAAAGCCACGAAGACTTCAATGGGGGAGGGGAGTCCAGCCACAGTATACGCTCGGTAAAAATATTTTAAAATTTTAGTAAAGTATACGAGGGGGGAGGTAGGATCTGCAATGTTTAAAAATTGGTCTACGTGGTTTATGGACAGCCTCCAGGCTGAACTGAATGTTGCACCCAGCTTGTAAGTTACTCATAGATTTCATTAGTCACAGCTGCTGTGACTCGATGGAGACGCATTGTGAACTACCTTGCGTCTTCATCGTTTCCATGCACGTGTGGTGCATATATTGCGGAACAATAATTTTTTATTTTAAAAAAATTGTGTCTCCAAAACTACTTCTTCGACATCGCTAATTTTTTTGATATAATATGTAAAATTAAATTATCTTTCAATTAAAAATACTAAAATAAGAAGTTGTTGAAGACCCTCGCAGTGAAAATCAAGAAAAAGCATTTGTAACATTTTTTTCCTACAAAATCAAATATCTCTGAGTGTTTCATAATTTTTCTTAAAACTACATTAAAACATCTTTCATTTGAAGGGTCAATCGTAAAAATCGGTCAAGAGGTTGAAAAAAGACATTTTTGAAAAAAAAATGATTTTTTGGACCACCCTAACACGGAAATGGTCTTCCGAATGGCGCAATAAAAAAAATACGAGTCTAATATTTTTTGATAAGGAAGAACTATACCAATTTTCATGAAATTCTGAGACCCACTATAACTTTTTTCTATGGAATTGCTGTATATATATATATATTTACATGCTATGATAGTGTGCGTGCACATAGAAAGCCCGTGTGGAACGCTACCACAACACATCGCTTGTTGAGCAGAAAAACGAACACTTTTTGATTCACCGATTTGTTCGCACTTCTCCTTCTGTTCTGTGCTTACGCCTTAGTGACATTCCTACTAACCGCAAGACATATGCTATGCATAATCATGGGTCAGCAAATGCAAATTTGATAATCATGGCTCAGATTCCTCAGTTAAAAAAAAATATGGGCTGAGAAAATGTTCAATTCCTGGACATAATGAAAGAATAGTTCAATCTGCAAGGCATTTTCAAGATTCTAGAATGAAGATTCGATTTCGGATCATGAAATGTTTTCCAAGATCCCAGGTTTGAAAACAAATATCAATATAATGGATCTTAGAAAACTTTCAATGTTCTTGGGCTTGAAGACAATATTAAAGATTCTGAAATTTCGTGGCATTACATTGAGAATTTCTGAAGAATTGTAAGGCGAACTTAGTATTCCAAGAGAGTTCTGACTGAAATTCTATTTTAGTTTTGAAGAAATTCTGAGGACCGCTTGATTCCTGGTAAATGCTCAGGAAATTTTCAAGGGAGTTCTGAGAAGAATTCAAATGAAAGAGCTTCAATTTAATTCTAAGTAGGATTCCAAAGTGAGAAGAAAATTCAAAAGATTATTTAAGCATAATTCTTAAGTAAATGTGAGCATAATTCCAAGGGAATTCTGAGGCGAAGCTCTACGGGAGATCGAAACCAGAGAAGAGGAGCTAACTTAATGAATGCCTTGGAATATTGGTCTAGAATTGTGAAGAGGGTTACATGTGAATTTTAAGGAGAATTTAAATAGAATTCTGTAGAAAATCTTTAGGGAGCTCTGGCTATAATTTCTGGATAATTAAAAGGAGAATTCGATGGAAGTTCTGAGGATAAATTCAAATTAAATTTAAGGTGTTCTGCCTATAAACGCATATCAGTCCCATATGGATTTTCGCCAATTGGCATCTGCTTTCATATTATGTGAAAAAAAAACGATGGACATTGGTCATGATGAATGTGAATGTAGAACAATATCAATTCAGTTTGTACCATCAAGCAAAGTAATCGCATATCAGTCTCATCCTGAAATTCTAGAGGTCAAGTTACAGTTCTGCTTTTTGAATTGCCATATTTTTTGCTGATATAACAAATCATGCAAGCTTCATTGCAATTGATTTCAACTTGATGTATGACTGTTATGGGATTATAGGATGTATAGGCAGTGTTACCCAAAGCCACTATTAATTTTAATTTTTGTTAACTCATTTTTAGCTATTATTCAACCACCATCAACCTCGCTCTAAACATCTCCCCTGTTTTCCCAGGTGACATCGTAACCTCGATCAACAGCTGCGAGGTCCGCAACGAGGCATCCTGGTACGACTGCCTGCTGGAATCGCTCCATTCGCAACCCTCCTACTGCATATCGCCGGACTTTGTCCACCTGAACGATGAATCCGTTCCGATCTCGCACAAAAACGACGGCCTCATCGAGTGCTGCAACGCCGAGAACAAAGCCTCCAACTGTTTCGAGTACATGGTGGACGTGAACGAAGAGGACGTTGCCCTCCCGCAGCACATGTGTCTCAACATTAGGAAGGTCGTTGAGAACTCCTTTGGCTACTGTCACCAGAAACCGATCTGCCCGGAAGGACATTGCTTCAAACCGATTATCAACAATTTCACGACCATTCTGCAAATCAGGAGGGATAGGAAGCCGGATGTCATCTACATCGGGCATCCAGCGGATCTGACCCGAACCATTCGAATCTCGCAGTTTGTACCGAAGACGTCGATCTTCCGACCGGGTTTTGCGGATCATATTCAACTACTGCTCAAGTATGTGACCGTTTTTGCCTTGGGATTATCGATCATCAATGTGATTCCCTGTTTCGGGTTCGACGGGCAGCACATTGTCAGTACATTGTTGTCCAATGGATTGGTTGTCAGTCGGGTACCTCAAAAGAGCAAACGCGACGTGATTGCACTGTGTATCAACTGCATTGGAACGTTGTTTGTGTTTATTCTGCTGACGAAGGTCTTTTGGCAGATGTTATTCAAAGCACTGTGGCCGTAGAGGGAGGGGGACGGCGATCTGAATTTTGTACAACTGACAGTGGTTCTACGTTGACGTAGAGCCGCGCACCTTAGGGCGTAATATTGAAGAATCATGTGCTGTAGTCAATAGCGTTTAAGACATTTTGCATGTAAGGAAAACATCACGAAACGAAGATGATAGCAATAGCCGTTATTTGGTAGCGATGACGTGGTGTGCGTGTATACTGAGCAACGATGTGCAACTTTGTTTGTAATACTAAATACCTGTAAACCGAGTAAAAGGTGTAGCTAAATACAATCACCCTTTTTAAATACCAAGCGAAAGCGTTAGCAATCTCTTCATATCACAACCATGGGGACGCATGGTCCCACAATAATTCTACACTCCGCTCTCAGATCGGAGTCATCGGGAACGAGCGGAACACAAAGTGATCGTGAATTCGCGAGAGAATGACTCGTCGGCCGAGAGAATTCAATCAGCTGATCGGCTTTTCCTAGGTAACAATCAAAAACCGCATGGCCCACCACTATGCCGGAGCAGCTGGATTCCTCCACAGGCGGGTGCTGGCTGGGAGGTGGATGAACTTTTACGATGCTGTTTTTCCAACCCATTCTGTTTACCGTGCTCTCTCGCCATCACCGCGCGCATTGTTGGTGGAAAATTTTCTCTTTCTCCCACAATCAACCGGAGAGCGGTTTTCGTTCGGGGGGTGTTCGTGTTTTTGTTTACGCTAAAGTTTTTCCCTTTCGGTTCGTCACTGCTGCTGGCGACCTTCCGTGCACTGGCTATGGTTGTTTTCTCAACGCTGGTCGAAGGTGCTGGTGCCGACGGAGGTGGTGAAGGTGGGTGGCCGTTTTCGAATGCGGAGCAAAAATAGAAGCATGCTGTCCGCTGCTTCGGTTTGATGAGCGTTGATGATAAAGAGTTGCCAAAAGAGACATATCAGTGTGAACCGAGCGTTGACGGTTTGCTGCTGGGTGTCGGGAAAAGTAATGTGGTCACAAATCGAAATATTGATAAGCATTAATCAGTCTACTAAAAACTGACTATTGAGTTGAGATGGATCGGTGAGGATGTGACACTTTCTTGTTCGTTTCATGATTATTGCGAACAATAAATCATTATCGCTGTTTTTCAAAACCGCACTTCCTTTTCAGTTGAAATCAGTCTTAATTTTTGTGAGCAAAATTCGGATCAACATTTTATTCAGCTGATTGAAAGCTGTTGTTTAGCATTTTCTTGGTGGAGATGTTTATTGGTTATTCAAAATTATCTGCCGGTTTGTCACAGACATTCTTTTATATGTACTCATTGAAATTCTGGTCAGACATTCCTTGGAATTCACCACCGAGTTCGTATTCAACTCTAGATTTTTTTCTAGAAATTCCTGTGAAAATTACTTTAGCATCCGTTGCATATTCACCTTAAATTCCATTGACCTCAAAATTCCTCTAGAATTTGTTTTGATACTTTATTAGGTAAGGAAATTTTTAGCCTTTGGTTAGTTCATCTCCATCCTTTGGAAATATATCTTCAGAACTCGAACCCCTTGGAATTCTCTTATACCTAAGCGAGCGTTTATTAATTATGTCATTAATATTTAAGTTCGGGACATATTGTCACAATTTCTTGACCAGGAAGGAATTTAATTATTGCAAGCGTAACTATTCAAATCGACGTACCTGCTTTTGTAAACAATCACTTCAATCGACGATTTGTCTTTACTGCTAACTCACCTACGTAAACAAACACCATCATCAGGTAGGGGAATCTTTAATAAGGATTCCATACAGTATGTGCAGTAGTCTAAGCTTAGCTTAGCTTTTGCGAGATTCAAAATGGCCGAAAATGTGAATGATTTACCATAACAAACAATTAATCAGTTTGTCAAGCTTCTGCATTCATTTTCCATCAGATGTCACTGATGTTGTTGGCGGTGACATCTATAGGAAACTACACATAATCTGTTTTCCGTTTATTGTTCACAGGGGACAGTGTAGTGTAAAAGTAGTAGTAGTAAAATCAACAATCAATACGCAACTATCGATTTTAAATTGGCACATTACTTGACTAGCCTATTGGTCCCAATTAAATCGATTAACGTACCCCATTCTAGTTGAAATTCGAGTACTACACTATGTTTGTTTTGATTCGCAATGAAAGTTTGACAGATAAAATGAGGGGCTCATGGATTTACCTATGTTTCGAGGGTTGCATCGATTAGCTTGGGACCGAAGATAGTACCAGAGCTGAGCCAAAAAGTTGAGCACTTTTCTTCTGGACCTACTAGTCTTAGAGTTACCTCTACACGCTTATTCTGGTCAACTCAAAATTGAGTCGAATTTACTCATCTCAGCGGCAAGTAGGGCTACTCAAAATTGAGTAGCATTATGTTGCCTCACTTTTTAGTAAACGACGTTCTCACGTAGACTGAGTCAAATCCACTCACCGGTATTTTCAGTTGCGGGGAGGGTTTTTGTTTTGATTTTTATTCAAGGAAATGGAAATTGCCTGCTCCGAATTCATTCTACCGGAGCATAACATGGTTCAACACCATTTCCCTAAGCAATTCGTACTTACCTGAAGACATTTCATCTGGTTTTGAGTAACATTTTTTATGAGGTTTCCTCCGACATGACTGGTATTTTTTTCCAAGTCCAGGATTTTGCTGACTGAGTGGCTTTTACTCAGTTTGTTATTTTTCGTATACTCAATTTTTGACAACTCGATACATCGGACGAAAGTAAGTACGATCTTGAACGATCGACTCACCTGGTGAGTAAGCAGAAGTTAGCGTGTATGGTAAAATTATGTTTATTTCTGTTGATTATTAAAGTACATTGATTTAACATTTTAATTGATTGATAAGCCTACCTGGCTATCTACTTAATCTAAGGCTTAACCTAACAATCTATGAACCATTGGATGGAAGCTGTTCTCCGTAACTCCAGCCTCTGAAGCCCAGCCAGGCGATGAACCTTAGACTTCCTCATTCGTGGAGGACTGTTGAGGATCATTCTCAAAAACTTGTTTTGGATGCTATGTAATTTGAGGTGATGGGAATTTGCGCTCCTCTCCCAGATTGGCACCCCGTATTCTATTACAGGAAGAATTATTTCCTTACAGACAACAAGCTTGCTTTTCAGGGACCGAGTGGATCCCCAATTGATGAGTGGATAGAAGGATCTCATCAGGATGTTACACACACTTATAACGAATTCGTTTATTATCGGGGTTGGAACCAGTTCCAACCCGTGCGAACCCGAACTTTTTGTCAGTGCGAACCTCGACCCGTGCCAGGTTTTAAAAACAAACGGTCAAACTGACGTTTGCTAGAAAACAAGCAGACTCAATCTTGATACCCGATCCAGGTTGGAACTGAATAATAAACGAATTCGCTATTAGTTTTTTTCTACCGAGCTCGGCTGTGCAAATCTCGGCAGAATAAGTTTCACTGGGATCTCAGCAAAAGTGACATTTGATAGCTGAGTCTCGGATAATACTTAGGCTGTGAACCATTTGCCGAGTTAAATTTAACTCGTGGTTAAAAGTGTCATTTCGAAAGTTATTTCTTATGTTCGAAAATCCCCGTGCTGTCGATCGACCGGTTTTCGAGCAACGGTCGTCAAAATTTAACTTCTTGTCTGTCAGAAATAACCATGCTCGGATAGCAGGGTTAATCGATAACTTTCCATCTGTCAAACTTTAACCAAAAGTTAAAAAAATCGCCAAATGGTTCAGAGCCTTAGCTGAATCACAGCAAACAAATTAAATGTTTGCTGAGATCTCAGTAAAACTTATTTTGCCGAGATTTGCACAGCCGAGCTCGGTAGAAAAAACTAAGTGTGCATTTGGTTTTTGTTTTGTCAATGTGTTCCCAGAAAATCAGCTTGCTGGCCGAGGTACACTACCTCTTTTAACCATTCCACCACTGTGCCGTTCAAGTTGATGTTATTATTCTCAGACTGAACAAGTCTGGATGATTTGGAATGAGGAAATATGATGACCTTGGTCTTTGCCGCGTTGGTACGGATCTTCCAGCAGTTGAAGTATTCTGACAGGTCATATAGGCCTCTCTGAAGTTTGGCGGTCAGAGCTCCGATGACCCTACCCTTAAAGATGATGGATTTGTCATCTGCGAACAGAGACAGCGATCCACCTTTAGGGAGAGCCGGCATATCGGAGGTGAACAGGTTGAATAAGATGGGGCCAAGGATGCCATTGAGAGAGACACTGAATGTCCTGTCCGAAAGGTAATTTTTAATTATCGTCACTAGGCAGATTCGAAGTCCGTATCGCTGCAATTTGTAGACCAGGCCATCATGCCAAACATTGTCGAACGCTTTTTCAACGTCCAACGATGCCATGGCAGATGTTTAAGATACAGACTTGTTCCGTCTGTGAATGTTTGTTACTCGAGTGAGCTGGTGAACAGTCGAGCGTCCTTTACGGAAGCCAAACTGCTCCTCGAGCAATATGTTGTTTTCCTCGGCAGATGCCAGAAGTCGATGGTAGACTGCTCTTTTGAACAGTATGGATAACCCCGAGAGAAGGCTGGTGGGTCGGTAACTTGAAGGAGAGGATGGATCTTTCCCAGGTTTACCGATGGGGATGACTTTAGCTGACTTACAGCACGAGGGGAAGTAGCCAAGTCTTAGGTATTTATTAAAAATCAGTGCCAAATGGTTGAAGAATCTGGAACTCAGGTGTTTGAGTTCCAGATTCAGGATTTGGTCGAAACCTGGGGCCTTCATATTTTTAGATGATTTGGTATAGGCCACAGGAAAGTTGTTAGTAATTCGATGGAGGTTGGTTGCATTTACCGCAACTGCTGTATCGTATGGACTAGGCATGTTCAGTCCGAGATTATACGAGCTGACGAAATGTTGACCTATAGCATCAGCCTTCTCTTCAGGGGTTATCAGATGTGCAACTGAATCATTGGGTTGATTCAACGGCACAAGTGGGGGAATGGGTATTGGCTTATTTTTATTTTGGTTAGCTTCCAGAAGGGCTTAGCACAATCTGGGAGAGAGCTCATTTCTGAGATCCATCATCCTGGCTTGGATTATTTTTGTTAGACGGTTGCAAAAATCCAGTACGTTGGTACTGCCTACGCATGGTGTTACGGAGTCTGATAATGTTTTTAGTGGGACTATCAAGGTTCAGAGTATTGCTCACCTGTCTGGATACTGGCACGTGTTGTTCCCTGGCTCGGGATATCGCCTCCTCCAAGGAACGCAGGCATCGGTCAACGTCTTCGGTGGCGTCTGGATGTACTTCGTAGTCGACGTCGGTGTCGACACAGTGCTGGAAC